CGGATTAACTGTTTGGTGGTATAATATGAAGTGAACTACGGCGACATTGCTTAAAAACGATAGCGAAAATCTTACTAACAAGCCTTCTGGCTCAGAATAGAACAAAATACTGTCGAAAACTTTCATATCTTAACCACAACAATAATATTGGTTATGGATGCCTCGAAACAGATAAAAACCCTCTCGGAAATAATTTATTGATCAGTTTACATCAAAATCGTCTCATAAAATAACATACAGTTGAAGAATCAAAGACTCAGAAGTGGTTTATTACAAATCCCCGAGAACTATTCCCTGTATTATTTTAGTCCTGTGAAAATGTTCATTATAGAAGCAGAATAAAGTATATTGCTTATTATTTCATTTTGAGAGTTACATACGAGTAGAATACAAGCCAGTCTCATTGAACATTGAAATGGTGATTATTTGTTTGCTTCTTGTTGTTGTTACAAACACATCCATAATGTTTTGACTATGTAAAACGTTTTGTATGATGTTGTATAGATTTTGGTTCGATCATTATATCTGCTACACATACATTCACTCGTAAAAATTAATTACATCAGAGCAGATTGATTGTCCTTCAGTTATGAAATACTAAAAGCAAAAACCTAACGAACTTTGAAGACAAAATGTATGAAATAAAAGAATTTTCGGAGTTTGAAAATTGTTTATAAGTGTAATTATTAAGGTTTGATTTATAAATTTCAGATTAATTGAATGCGTTGCTTATGATAATAAAATAACAAGATGTTTGTAACATTCCAGTGAGTATAAAATAACTGAACTAAATTAATACAAGTTGAAGTGGTACAGCAAAAAATCGGAATATTTAGTACAGTTAAAACAAATGTGATCACGCTAATGTCATGTCATTGAGGTTGAAGATGAAACATATTTGATGTGTTAGTATATATCTAAGTGTAAAAAATATGAAATTTGTAATATGAGGGAACAGAGCTAATTAGTATGTTCTTTACTGGAGGTGAATATTGAACAGATCAAAAGTGGTTGTTTAGGAAAATGGTCCAAATTGAATGGATAGTTAGGGTTTTTATTCTGTTAAGCCCAACAAGTTTTAGCAACATATTGACTGCTTTACCCACCTGCCTTTTGCTTATAGTTGAATAAACAATTTTCAATTTCTATATTTTTAATACCTATTTGGTGGTTGTTGGAAACACCATGTACTACTTACCCAACTTAACTTGTAGATTCTTGTGTTCTGCAGTACTAGTTGGAGATCATTTTGTGTAGCTTAGATGGCACAAAACTCTACAAAATAGAAGGTATCACAATTGCAAAAACCTAGTTTGTACACATGGTCCACTGTAGGAGCAGTGGGGGATCTTTTATCTTTATTCAAACTAAGGGATTTCGGTAGTCTTATAGAAGGCTTTAATTCTGTTTAGTTTGAAGAATTGGTGATATTCTTCTATCGTCCAATCGGGTTGAAGTAAAATTACAGTTGACAGATAATTCTTATTTAAACATTAAAATTAAAACACGAATTTCAGCGAAGGGATCTCTTTTCAACGAATTTTTTATCAAGCTGTACAATCGTATATATATGAAAATTTTTTGTTTTTGTAAAAGTACTAATTCCGTGAGGAAATGTGAACACAATTAATAAAAAAAGGTTATAATACGAGATTACGTAATATGAATAATAACAATAACAATAGATTTAGTGATTATAATAAGATGATTAAAATGTTTTTGTTATAATAATTAAAGGTCATAGAGGTGTACAAAAATAAACTGATATGATGAGCATTTACGAATAAAATAATGAGAATATAAGACATAAGTAAAGGGAGAATGCAGTAATAATAATAATAATAATAATAATAATAATAATAATAATAATAATAATAATAATAATAATAATAATAATAATAACATTAATAATAGGATAATCAAACTAATTAAGGCCAAGGTAACGATAACGATAAGACGTACTTCTATTGTACGCATAGTTCTGGTTTAAGCTCCTGGATGGCAAGAGCTTCGGCTATTTTTAAAAGTTGTATACGAAGAAATCTGGGTAGATTTGTACGAATCATATAAACAACCTTAAAGTCAATTTGTGGATCTGTTGAATGGTTATAGTCGATTAGGTGTTCAAGTATAGAACTCCTAACTGCTTTCCTTTCACCCTTATAGAACCAGGCTGGGATATGTTCTCGTATCCGAGTTGAAAGCGAGCGCTGGCTACGGCCAGTGTACCTTGCTCCACAAGAGCAGGTGAACTGGTAGTTGCACATGGAGGCGACCAGACGCGGTAGCTTATCTTTTATGGATACAGAAAATGAGTTTCTACTAGTGAAGGATATTCGCAGTTTTGTCGCGTTAAATGTTCTAATAGTTGTTGTTAGACGGTTTTTGATTACGTCCGATGTTCGGTCACCTTTAAATTCCAGACTTATATAAAGGGTTTTCTTTGGAACGGAACAACTAGAATTCTTCTCGCGACTACTTTTATTCATATTCTTTTCTATGAACCGTTCTAGGTAACCATTTTCCGTCAAAGTCTTCTTCAGGAATGCGAGTTCTTCGTTAATGCATTCCGTACTGCATATATGATGTATGCGATGGCATAAAGAATGGATAAGGTTTCTCTTCCTACTTAACGGAACCCAGCTATAGAAGTTGGTTAGCTGGCCATTCCATGTTTGTTTTCTAAAGATGGATCTTTTTAAAGAACCATTACTCTTTCTCATCAGACGTACATCGAGAAAAGGAATTGATTGGTCTTGTTCCCTTTCTAACGTGAAGTCTATGGAAGGGTGGCACGAGTTAAAGGTGTGTAGATTATCATCTAAATCAATATTATTGTCACAAACAACAAACGTGTCGTCCATGTATCTCACGTATAGGTGGAATCGATTGATCATTGAACGGAGTTGGTCGTTTTCTACTTTTGCCATGAAACAGTCTGCTAAAATTGAACCCAATGGAGACCCCATTGCGATCCCATCCCTTTGCCTATATATTTAATTATTGAAACTGAACTGGACATTAAAAGTACAGCGTAACAATAATTCTTTCAAGTGTTCAGTTGGCAAACCTAGATCTATATTGTTAGAATCAATATACTCACATATATAACATATTGTTTCGGTTAAAGGTAAGCTAGTGAACACAGAATTAACGTCAAGCGAGAACATGTGTTTTTCGGAAGTATTAACGTCCTTAATACGATCAATAAATTGAAAAGTATCATGAATAGAATGTTTACATACTTGCCTTCTAACCGGTTCCAATTTTTCCGCTAACCATTTGGCGATTCTGTGGTATGGAGAACTTGACATGTCCAAAATAGGTCGTAACGGTAAACCCGGCTTATGTATTTTCGGTAGTCCATGACCTTTAATTATTATAACAAAAACATTTTAATCATCTTATTATAATCACTAAATCTATTGTTATTGTTATTATTCATATTACGTAATCTCGTATTATAACCTTTTTTTATTAATTGTGTTCACATTTCCTCACGGAATTAGTACTTTTACAAAAACAAAAAATTTTCATATATATACGATTGTACAGCTTGATAAAAAATTCGTTGAAAAGAGATCCCTTCGCTGAAATTCGTGTTTTAAAATTACAGTACCAATTTATATTTTATTCTAGTGATGGTTTAACAACAAACCGTTTCATCTTACCACATTTTAAACGAATATTTATAAGAAATTTATTAAATTACAAGATGTTTTGTTACATCGTTCGGTTCCTTTTTTTCATCTTCTGAAGTATTAATTTCGATAGCTCTTCTTAAAAAACTTTGTTCATTGACAACTTTATAAATATATAGTATTATTTTATGTAATCATACAAACTATTGTCTAGTTGACATTTCATGTATTTATATATTGCACTGGTTGAAATCGTGAGTTAATTGAAGCTAGACCATCATGGAAAACTTGGAAGCACTAGACGGCCGTTTCGTCCTAGTATGGGACTCCTCAGCAGTGCGCATTCACGATCCTGCCCCTCGCGAGATTCAAACCCAGGACTAGTGAAAGTTCTAAAAATCTCCACAAAACCCATTCTGATATTTATATATTGATTAAATTATCTCTAATATCATGGTGAACTAATGTTTAGCAACATAAAATTACCATGTCATATGTACACTCTGTGTTAATCAGATGGGATAAACATATATATATTGGTGACAGAACAAGTTTTTAACTTTACATGAATTAGCCTGTAGCGAATCATCTGAGTACATACTTTTCTCATACTTAACTGTTTTAACTTCATATAGATTTGATTAAGTTTTAGGAAAACAATTAAACTTTTTAATTTGAACAGAGGTTTCATAAGTTTCTAATTTCAAAATAAAACCATATAACAAATAACTTTTCAAGTCAATATTATTTTTATTAAGTAAAGTGTTACCAAACGTTTAAACAATTGGATTTATGAATTCATTATTTTCTGTTCATCAGGTAAACGTCTCTTATGTATTCATGTTAGCTTGAGGTTGGAAAGTGGTGAAAGGTGTTTAAATATGATTTTGCTATTGTAAATCATGTTTAATTGGTACTTTTCATGCATTTTCTTACGAGATAATGATTTGTCTTCTATTAGAAAAACAATAAAGTGAATTAAGCTTAGAAATATAACAATAGTGTTTATTCTATGATAGATTGTGTGATAATTTTCTAATGCCTGTCAAAATGATTTCCCTTGTAGTAGACTAACATAATTATTGTTTCATCTAAAAAATAAAACTCCAGATACTATGAGTAAATAATTAAGACGTGATATTTAGTGAACCACTTGAATGTTTGAATATTACGACAAAACGAGATCATAATTGAATGATGTTAGTATTTGTCTGCCATTGATTCTTGATGAATTACACTGTTTTTATTACAGTAAGTTTTTCGTGTACAATTTATTTTACCTTTACTAATATTTTTGTTTTACATAGACATTGTTTTTTCTATTTGTTAACTTCACCATTTTCTTTTGTTATTCTCTAGATGGATTTCGAAATAGGCAATTAATTAATTTAATTCGAGAAGCGAAAGTTTTAAGTGAGCTAGAACCACATCCAAATATCATTAAATTTCATGGACTATGCATAGATAATAGTAAGTAACGTTTTGCATATATATATAGAATAACAAATTACTTGTGTAAACGTAAATTGATTTCAACTGATATTTACACATGTCTTGTCTTCAGATCACTTCAGTTTCAACCATTGATTAATAGGGATTCGAATCATCATATAAAATTTGTGACTCTTACAGTTGAGTAAATTAAATAACACTATAACATAGGTAGTTGGTCATGTTATTGTAATGAGCCATATCAATAGTATTTTTTAGTTAGAATTTATAAGTTCATCAACTTGTTGTGGATGTTAACACGCTCTAATTTTCGTTATTATTATTATTATTATTATTATTATTATTATTATTATTATTATTATTATTATTATTTTTATGACTGAAAGTTTCAATTTGTAGTAAATATGTCGTTGTATGCGATGTTTTCGATTTAGCATAAAGAATAATGCATTAGTCAAATGAAAATACTTTTCTTTAGAATGAACTAAGCAACTGTACACTTTACTAGCCTTCCCAGTGTCAAACAGCTTCCATATATAAATGAAATATTTCATTTGTTTTTTCCCTTTTTCTTCGTAAAAGAAAGAAACAATTACAGTCATATTCAAAGGGACGAGACATGATTGCAAGCCTGTTCTCTTTAAATCCATATACATATGTATATGTTAAATACATAAAGCGTAGCATAGTTTCTATACACATTACATGTAAAAATAAGGGTAATCAATACCAATTCGTTAAGCGAGAAAACTAAATTTTAATGACTAACTCTACTCAATATAATATGTATGTTTAGCATCATAAATTAAGTAAAATGTCATGCACTATATTGTTCTACGTGATAATTAATCTAATAATCTTTTTTTTCTCAATTCATAATACACGGGGTTTCTTTGTAATTTGTCGTCCCAACTATAGTAGTTTGTTATTATTATTATTATTGGAAAAATTCTTTTTCACTATTTTAACAGTGTGAACAATGAATATCCTTTTTTTCTATTCAATTTTATATTTACGTATTAAAATAACTGTCTGTCAACTGATTGAATAAATAATAAGTTTCTCTTCTTAATGTTCCAGCTCCGTTAAATGATGTAATGTTTGTTTCTGGGTTTTTTTACAGTATAGTTTAACTGATTATGTGAGGATAGTGATCCTTTGAACTATCGCAAATGTTTGTTTAAATGAATCACTTAAACTAAGAGGCATCAATCTATAATACAGAAACTAAGATGAACGATACCTATGAAGATTCGAGGAAAAATAATTAAATTTCAACAGTTTTTCCTGATGACATTGGAATATTGATGAAATGATTTACTGATTAAATCAGTGATCTCTTTGAAATGTGTTTTCTGTTTTACTTATCTGAGTATTTCAAAGAAGTACCGATACTAGTAAGAATATTTTCAATCCACTTTGCAAATTATTACATAGATAATTCTAATTTTCTAATAAAAAAATACATGAAAGAGCTTTTTAATCAGATTCGATCAAAACCAAATAAGTTTTGTTATGTACATCAGATTATATAAAAAAGGAATTTGAAAGATTTTAAACATCAAGTTTTGCAAACTTGCTAAGGTTTTTCAAAGCACTGTCTTTCAATATTCATTAACGAAATGACGATGACACGGAGCTTAGAAGAAATACATTCATTTATTTACTTCGATAAAACTTAGAAACGTACAAACCTCTCATTCATTTCAATTTTTAAACATGTATGTTGCTATGACCTTTGGAGTATAATTACTCAGTGAACAATTTACTTGTGTAATTATTACTATATATGATATTAGATGACTCATCAAATAATCCCAGCTTCTACACACTGTGATTGAAAGTGTACCTCATACATTTTTCATGATAAAACGATTTCCTGATTGAATGCTACTTCAATTAACCATATTGAAATGGTAATTTTCTTAACGGATCAATAATCTCTCATTTGATAAGTTGTCAGGGCATTAGAGCTATTGTTCGTATGAGTGACATTTAATTATCAGAATGGGTTTTGTGGAGAATTTTTAGAAATTTCACAGTTTTTTTGAAATCATGAGTCAGTTGAAGCTAGACCACCATTGAGAACCTGGAAGCACTGGACGACCGTTTCGTCCTGGTATGGGACTCCTCAGCAATGCGCATCCACGATCCTGCACCACGCGGGGCTCGAACCCAGAACCTACTGGCACGTTCCTCGGCTCTGATTGATAATGAGTGGACGCGGTAAAGGTGGAAAGTCTCGTGCTAAGGCGAAAACGCGATCAGCCCGTGCTGATCTGCAGTTCCCAGTTGGTCGTGTCCATCGCCTCCTTCGCAAGGGTAACTACGCAGAACGTGTCGGGGCTGGTGCCCCTGTTTATTTGGCAGCTGTCCTCGAGTACTTGGCGGCTGAAGTTCTTGAGTTGGCTGGCAATGCCGCTCGTGACAACAAGAAGACCCGTATTATCCCTCGCCACTTAACTATTGTAGTGAATATTTGAAAACCATGACATCGTTACTGTGTAAGTGTGCACAATTCTAATTCATTGTTCTAGTCTCCATTCAATTTCTTTTAGTGTTATATTGAAAAGAGGGTGGTTTCAATACTTAGCAAAGTTAGTTTATCAGAAAGGTTGTACAATCGTTCAATACTTAATTGACCGATGATTACTAAAGTCTATGCTTATACAAAACACTGGGATTTCGTTGGAGTTTTGTTCTCTGAGCTGGATGGTTTGGTCGTGGAGCTTTCATCGTTCTTCTGAACGACATCGTTCAAGAAGAACGATGAAAGCTCCACGACCAAACCATCCAGCTCAGAGAACAAAACTCCACCAAAATCATCCACCTGAGCTACAAATCTTCTCCACCACTGGGATTTCGTGCTAGTTGCTTATACTGAAGAGGTAAGTGATAACACTTCGGGGAGAAGATTAATTACAACTCATCGTTTTCAACATGAAAGATGAAATTGAAGATTACCAGTGTTAAATTGAGTTACATCATCCAGTGGTAAATTCGTCGAGTGACATCTGTGAAAAATGAACGACATCATGATAACTTTGATAAGGTTTTTATGAAGAACTGACTAGCTCAATAAAAATCTATCTCAATGACATCTATGTAACTAAATAATGCAAATTCTTACGTAGACTTTCAGTCGTTAAATAGGGTATATATATACATATCCTATTTAAAATGTAAGCTATTTGATGATGTTAAGATGCCTAGAGTGAGAAATTCAGAATGATAACTTGAAAGTCTGGTCTTATAATTAGGCTACTAGGAAAATAAACTGTTCCATACATTTCATTGCAATCAAAATAGTCACATGCTCTTACTATTATTTTGTTAGTTTCCTTGAATAATGGCAATATGGTTCGCATATCAAACTTCATTCGCTGATCATTCAAGGCACTTAACTCTATAATGTAATGAAATTGTTGAATATAGTCAGTACGAAAGGATCGTCGATATGTAATCGTCTTTGAGGGATCTGGATCTTGTAGTTGAATCATTTACTTAGGATTGTTGGGGTTTAATCCAAATTCCGGATTCATTACTGGACTTAATTTAATGTAAAATTGTATTGCAGAATCCTTTATATTGGTTAGTATTCTTTTAGTTTACGTCAAGTCGTGCAATAACTTTACATGTGCGCATAGATAGAAAAGCTCCCTAAGTGAGCGAATTAATGTAATACATCAGATCTTTTTCAGCATTATTTCAAACTATTCGAATTACTATACTTTATGGTCGGATACCTTAAACATACTACTAGATTGGAAGAATCTATATCATAACATCTCATATCATTTCCACTGGATGATGTAACTCAATTTAACACTGGTAATCTTCAATTTCATCTTACATGTTGAAAACGATGAGTTGTAATTAATCTTCTCCCCGAAGTGTTATCACTTACCTCTTCAGTATAAGCAACTAGCACGAAATCCCAGTGGTGGAGAAGATTTGTAGCTCAGGTGGATGATTTTGGTGGAGTTTTGTATAAGCATAGACTTTAGTAATCATCGGTCAATTAAGTATTGAACGATTGTACAACCTTTCTGATAAACTAACTTTGCTAAGTATTGAAACCACCCTCTTTTCAATATAACACTAAAAGAAATTGAATGGAGACTAGAACAATGAATTAGAATTGTGCACACTTACACAGTAACGATGTCATGGTTTTCATATATTCACTACAATAGTTAAGTTTCAGATATACTTCTGACGATGTTATAGAATTTGCTGGATTATCGACAAAAATAGACCGAAATACATACACTCTCGTATTCCTACTAGATAGTGTTGATGTTTACTGTGGTTAGTGGTCCTGACCACATGACCATAAATAATATCTTCACGTAAAATTATGTCAGTATAGCAACACCCTGCGATTAATCTCGATTATGGTTAGTTTTGGTCAAGCCTTTTTACTAACCTATTTAACAGACAATCTTTTTCAAACAATAACAATTCTCTTGTTTCTTTATATTATTATGGTCACTATCATATCTGTACAAACGTGTACGTTTGATCACATGTGAGAGCTTACAAACATTTATCTCTCTATATGTGAAAATGTTGGTGTCTTAAATACTGCTCGATGAGTCATTCTCTTTCTCATGTACATGTGCTCGAATCCTATTAATAGCCTTTGCCTTGCTTAGCTGCGCCTTGATTCGATTTGACTATAAATTCACCTCTGTATTTGCTTGATGTTTTTGTGACCACTACTTATTGACTTCTGAATTCAAACACCATTGGGATTCGCATAATAACGGTTATCAAGGTGGTCAATTAACGAAGCTAAGCCACTACGTCTGATCGTGTTATAGGCTTTAACGAAATTAACCTGTTTTATTGTTTGAATGAGAGCCATAGCTATTTTTGTAGAAAAATACCCTACTTAATCATCATCGAAATTCAATTGGTGCTATAGATCACCAGAATTTCTGTTATGTACCGCAATACACATTGACGAGACAATAATCACGGTGACCAATTACACTATGTGTATTCAAGATATCATATATATATATATATGCGGTGACCTTCACCCAAAGCAGACCATCATGTTATCTATCAAGTGTTAACATGTCTAACAAGTTTGTTTGTGGTATCATTGTCTAAACACACGTGATACCTATACGTACCCTGGACGTATGTTTCATAGTCTCTTGACTAGGTTATTTAACTTTATAAAATATTTTTTATTAAATTCATATCTTGACATAGTACCTCCCTCATATTATTCTTTATTGTCGTCATTGTTATAAGTTATAGAATGAATATGTGAAGCAAATATCAAATTACCAACGTGTATAAAACGTGCGTATTTTTTCAGTTTATATATACACTATTCAGAAGAACCATGTTTAATGTATTACTTCCTCTATCCTCTTTAATGCTTAACTATAAGTGTTTTGGAGGATGACGGAACAAAATGTATAACAGAAAGATCTTGCATCTTACATTTCCCTTTTATTATGTAACGTGATCGTAGACAATTTTAACAGATATCGCTTCCGCCGTTTGATTTTCCACGAATTGATCGCTTACCAAGAGTTTCACTCACTGACCTTGAATATGCAAATGACATAGTTTTATTCGGTTAGCTCTCTGACAAAGATTGCCATGAATGAAAATGCAGTGATGTATAAGATTCGTCCTCTTCCTCTAAGCGTAAAATGTTACTTCACGATTGTTGGTCTGTGTCAACTCGACTCATTATAAGGAGTGAATTAGTGCGATTTATCGACCTCTTCATCTACCGTAAATCCCTTGTCAGTTTTGAACTATTTATGTCTCATCGAGTCTTAACAGGACTTCGAGAAAATCGATTGGCCTTTGACCACATAAGCCATCTACAGTGTAGATGATATTTCCATCTCCCAATTAAAAGATGAGTATACTGATCACCAGCTCACTCACTCAGTTTTACTTCACAGGATTACGGTGGGATCCTCAAAAACAGAGCACATTCGAAGATAGCATTATTCCGATCATAACCTCATCAAAGTATTTCTCAACTTTATTGGAAAAACCCAGTGAAAAGTGGTGAGCGTCGACACAGGATACCAGAAAACATGCCACATCGTCTGACGAGGTTGTGAATGTTCATCAACCGAGGTGAATCAAACATCTCATATCTGTGCACAACCAACAAACCAACTAACCACTCATTACCCTAACTCGACGCACGATGTTTCCTGATCCAGAAGGAGTAGATTGGAGGAGGAGAACTAGGAATGGTCAAACATAATCAATGATTGTTGCAACGAACCATATTGATAAGTGTAGACTACCTGGTTGAGACATCTCACTCACTCATGGTTATTGCAATCAGTGATTAGACACGACGATTGACGTACTTTGGAATCAGTCGCAACTGTTCATCTGCATTTACTCTTTGTTTACTTCTACTCAAAATTTTTTGTGATTTGAGTTATTTTACACTCATTTTCGTTCCACAAACTCCATTCTTCCTTCTCGAACCATATTTTCTACGTGTAGTTGTTTCTACTACATACAAGTGATACTGTACCTACTTTTGGAAGTCTCAAAATTATCTTGATATCTTTATCTGGTTGTTCAGAATTGATATAGCAACGTGAACCGATTCATATAATATATGTTTGATTCTATATGCCTTATGACCGACTGACTGATGATTTTTGCTTACATGTTTTAGTGTATGTTGTATTTATCGGTACATCTTGAATTCTGTAAAGGATAGAATAAAATTCTCTAGTTAATTTTCACCGGAATACTCACTTTATTGCCTAAAATTTAGTTGTTAATGATTATCCTATTCCAACAAAAAAATCAGCCACATGCTTTTATACTCTTGGTTATACTCAGTAATGTGTTTTATAACTTCTTATCTTGAATACCAAGAATTTCAAACGATTAATTTCAATCAGTTCAATATTTCTCATTTGTATAACGACAGAGAATAATTTGTCTATGGTTACCGACTCTGCCGTATTTGTAAACTAACACAATACAACAGAGCATCTGTAATTCTTATTCATCAGTTTTCAATTCTCATTACGCTTCCAAATTTTCTTTTAAGTCTAATCATCATTATATTTTCTTTAAACCCAGTAAATCACTTGTACCAGTTTGTAATCTTAAATATTTTCTGAGACGTTGCATTAGTTCTCTTTATCAGTATCTATGCGCGATGTCCAGTCATATTATGAAATGTTTAAACTTGAAATGAATTGAGTATCGTAATTAGAAAATGAAAGCCAGTAGCCAAAATACTTAGTCCTTAAATATTTAGAACATTAGGTTGAATGGGTTTTTTCATATATCATCATTACCTTAATCACGAATTCACTCTCAGATTGTTCACTCAAAACATTCTCAGTATACATGTACCCAAAATCATTCGATTTGTGTGAGGGCTGGGATACTGCCCGGGTGCCCAGACCGAAGCAGGTGGTTTTCCTAGGAGGCCACACCCTGAGCCTTTGACCTAAACGTCTAACCCACAAGGCGATGGAGCATCGTGAGGAGATGCAGTCCCATGGTAGCCGGTGACCAGCGGTTGATTTATACGTCACTTTTTTCCTTCAGGATACTAGAGCCCATATGTCATGTGCACGATTGGTTTAGAATCCGGTTGAGGCGCCGGACATTCGCTTTTCGTCCTCTCAATTTCGTAAACAACACCCTCGCTACGAGAATACAGTGAGTAGGACTTCCCTGGAAGAGGCTGTATACGCGTGGCCGTGTAAGAGTATTTCGAGAGGGAGGGTGGACCCACCCCACTCTCGACCATACCAGGGTATTTGAGGGCTAAGTTAAACTGTTGCCAAAGATTTTTATCAACCTAACATACATATCCACTGCTTTCGATTACTTGTATTTAAAACTACAACCAAACGTCCGTTATAGTATTGTCTGTTAGATATGATCATGATTTTGTTTTACAAATTGAGCAATATTTAAAGTTTCAGCTCATCAATCATATTATGGTCGCATAACAGGTTTGAGACTCTACTAAACTAGTTCTTTATGTAAAGTCTACAACCATCAATATATTAAGATTATTTATTGTAGACCCATATATTATATATAATTTCGAATAAATGATCTATTCATTTGATTATTTAGTAATTATTTGATAATAAGATAAAAATAGAATCAAATATTCATCGGATTCCTCATGTGTTTATATTTCTTAATGATTTTGACTGTTGTCTTAAGGTTGACATTATCGTTCTAAGAATATAATCTATTATTATTAAGCTTGTTATGTTGTGTATATTTATTTTTATTTACCTTGATATTTCAGCATTCATTATGGAGATATCACTGTAAACAGTAATGTCAAGCCATTATTATATGAAGAGAATGATCATACTAATAATAATATTAATGTTTATTAATTAAGATTTTTTTATGAAACTATTTGATTAAACGCTATTTTATTTATCTTCAGGTCATCCATACATTCTTCTCGAATTAGCTATTCATGGTAATTTACGAGATTTTCTACGAAATCGTCGACCACCTGGACTCAATTATTGGGCAGATGAACGAACAATCAATTCATTATATGTAATTGTGAAAAATTCAAATGATTTCAAAGAAATTTTATCTGATAGTAGAATTAGACAACAAAGAGTAGAATTGTTGAAATTTGCATTGGATATTGCCAATGCTTTATTGTATTTTGAAACATTATCTGTAAGTTTGAATGATATTGACTGTCAATTAATGTTTCTTTTAATACTAATAATAATACAATTACCGATTGTTTCATACTTTCCATGGAGGTCATGACTATATGTTCAAAAGATAATAATCTAGTATTTCAATCAGTTTTTTTGGTTTCCCATCTTAATTAGAATGTTAACACTGATCAGGCCATAAGTTGGTTCTTTTGACGAAATAATATTAAAATGTAATACTGTAATACTTACTTGCTTACGCCTGTTACTCCTCTTGGAGTAGTATAGTAGTATAGACCGCCCACCAGCACTCGCCATCCAACCCTGTCCTGGGCAATCCTTTCCAATTCTTTCCAGTTGTTATTCATCCTTTTCATATCAATAACAGTAATAGTCTATCCATAATTATTACTGAGTGTTAAAAGAATATGTTTATGAGGAACACATGAACAAAATATATAGAGTAGAAACCATGAAGGTATGGAAAAAATATTTGAACAGCAACAATTTTGTAATGTTTTTCGTTTAAAAGTTAATAAATTTAATGTCTTTATGTTTTACTGCTGTTGAAACATTCAATTTATTAAAACTACTAGTTAATAATACTATTCCGTAATGTCATACTCGTTATTAGTTGGATTTTTTAATTAATGATTGTTGAACTATTCATTCATTTTAGAGGTGAGACCTTGAAATCCAACTTGCAACTCCTTGGATTAGACTGTGAACTAATCGATATGAGTTCTCACACTAACATAAATAAGCGACTTAAAATAATTTAACTCTAATTTATTCTGAGATCTGGATTTTCACTGTTCGTCTGTGATGACCGAATTCAATTATTAATTCGGTAACAAGGAATAAAAATAGAAAACCACTCTCAGTGTTGTATTGCTAAAAATTATTCTAGTAATTCTAACAATAAAGCTTATTTCGTTATTCAGCATGAAGAATTTTCAAAAGATTATGTGTTTATCGTAGATGAACATATCGAGATTTCATTTTATTCGATAGCTTCGGCCACAGTCTTTATAAAAGGAACACTAAGTAGCAGTTCAGCTGGCCTTCAGCTACTCTATAACTACCCACTATTCCTAAATAACCTGAATAGAACATTGAAGTAGGTCCCTCGACTCTGGCTGAAGTTCAAAGGGCTATAGCTAATCTGAAAGCGGTAAGAGCAGCTGGTCCAGATGGATTGGCTCCAGAGGTCTCTAAGGATGATAGTCCAATTTTAGCGATCAGGTTGACTAATATTTTAGCTAAAATCTGGGAACTGGACATAATCTATCTGACTGATTGCAATCACTGATTGTCCCAATATATAAGAAGGGGTGAAAATCATCCTGACTAATATAGCATCTAAAATACTAGCCGCAATAATTATTGGGCGCCTGACTAAGATTCGTGAACTGCAAACACGAGAAAATCAGGCTGGTTTTAGACCTGGTCGTGACTGTATCGACCACAGATTCACCATTCGTCAGGTTCTAGAACACAGACATGCTTGTCGGCGTCCGACAATGATGATCTTTCTTGATTTAAAAGAAGCATTTGACTCTGCAGGCCGAGAGGTTCTGTGGCAGTGTCTGTCATTTAAAGGTGTTCCTCAGAAGTGCATAAACATTGTGAAGGCTCTTCACTCGAACACTTCTAATCGATTGAGGGCTTATGGAGAACTTTCATCTGATTTTGCAACCTCAAGTGGCGTCCTTCAATGCTGTCCACTTTCTCCATTTTTGTTTAACTTCATCATAGACCTACTGATGGAAATAACATTCTCGTCGACTGAATTCTCGGGTATTGATCTCCTTCCAGGAGGTCCACTTATTGACCTAGAATACACAGATAACATAATCCTATTAGGTGAAGACGTTGATAAAATGCAGAGTCTTTTGGCAGTACTGAGCAACAATACCAGAATTTTTGGGATGCGTTTCTCCCCCCTCTAAATGCAAGTTGTTGCTTCAGGACTGGCCTGCGTCAACACCTGAACTAAAGATAGGGAGTGAAGTAGTCGAACGCGTTGACAACTTCATTTATCTTGGAAGTCTGATCAGCCCTAATGTGTTGGTTTCTGACGAAATCTCTGCACGGATTCGAAAAGCTCGTTTGGCTTTTACCAACTTACGTCACCTATGGCGAAGGCAATATATATGTATATATATATATACTGCGCAGCGGTTCGTTCTGTTTCACTTTACAGCTACGAAATGTGGTCATTAAGAGTAGAAGATACTCGTGACTTACTAGTATCTGATCACAGATGTCTTAGAAATATTGTGTCTGCTGGGATCGCTGGGTAAGTAATAGTGAGATTAGACACAAGGTATCAGGGACTGGTGGTAAATCAGTTGATGAGATTTTAAATTTTCATCGACTGAGATAGTTGGGCCACATGTTACGTATGCCTGAACACCGATTACCACTATGGATAATGCTGACTAGTGCTGAGGCTGGTTGGAAGAAAGTTCGGGGTGACCAAACCAAAACGTGGTGTCAGTCCTTGAAGTCATTAACTTCTAGTCTGAGGCATGTTAGTAGATGCAGACTACTTGGTTGAGGTCCGCGCGATTATCGTAATCAATGGTTGGAGACTCTGGGTGACATGGTTCATAACCGATCACAATGGCGTAGGTGTATACACTCTTTGTCTTCCCTTAAGTCGTGAGATTAAAATTACTGTATACCTCTCTTTCTACGAACTAATTTTTTCTCCCGGTATCATATCCTTATACACAATCTTTCTTTTACATATTACTATTACTGAAGTAACTATTTCTATGAATTCGGTGTTCATCTTGTTGTGCTAATAAGATGTGGCAACTTGGACAGATGCGTATATGTGCCTGGTCCTACGTTTTAGCTGACTGACTGTATCATCAGTTCGAATTCATCTTAGCTTATTTTGATTAAGGAAGTTAGTCACTGTATCATAAAATCTGTAGCTCAAAGCCGAACCGCTACATCTGATCTGATCCATGTTATCAAGTTACATATATTCATATATTATGATGAGAGTGTTCGATTGGAAAATGGTAAAAATAACATGGAATAATAATTAACTTAATTTTGTTATTCCTCGAATACGTCATGTAAATGATTCTAATGGGCATATAAACTAAAGTGTACGGTTATTAAGCACGACAGTAATCTATGAATGGCTCTTCAACCAGGTTTTATTTTTGTCATTTAGCTATATTGTTTTCTTTGACATTGATGATGGTAAAAACAAATATTTTTTTAATTTTTCAATAGTAGGATCATAATACCTATTGTTGCGGATGCTAATTCTTTTCTGTAAGAAGGAAATTAAACTCCTTAAAAAGAACTAATCAGTTATCGTTTTTTGGTGATTCTTAAGAGGAAATTACGTGTCATGATAATTTCGTGATATCAAGTTTTTTAGTGTTTGGATTGCACATCATTAAATACATCTGAGTTGTGACAATAAAATTAATTTGTTGTCTCTTATTCTCATTCGCTTCAACTGGTTAAGATCTTTTATGTGAATCTAACCATCAACATATAACTTGAGTAGAAGTTGGTTATAAATGTAGAGCCCTACTGTATTTTGTTTTATTCTCCTCAGTTAATTTTTACGGTACATTTTATTGAATGTCAAATTGGTCACATCAGTTAAAATAAAAAAACCTATTAGATTGTATAATACAATAATGTAAACACTAATTAATTAGTTTCTTTTTTGGAAATTAATTATTATACAAAGTCACTGACTTACGTCAGCTATTCAGCTTAGTTACACTATGCATGATGCGCTAGATTTATTTCGATGGAAACTAGGCTTTTTCATCATTCGGTGGCGATTTTTCACTATTTCATGCTTCGAATAAACAAAAGTGCGTAAAACAACAACTTGTTAGACCCAATATCTCGGAAATTTTGATTATCACCAATGTGTTTGGACAGTTTTTACAATATGCAAAATAAATTTTGTAATTATCATTTTCAGTTGTTTCATCGAGATGTTGCAGCAAGAAATGTTGTTCTTACAGAAGGATTTGTTGCGAAATTATGCGATTTCGGTTATGCTTGTACCCAAGAAGAATCAAATAATGGATACATGGAAATGGATAAAGTAAATTTATTGATTATTTATTAAGATTGTATTGTTGTTTGTTTTCAATGATGTACAGTTTTCTAGTACATTGGTGTTATATGAAGTTATAACTTGTAGTATAATGACACTAGATACTCAATGATCTTTAAGTTCATCCTTTTGTTGTTTCGGCTTTATTAATCTTCGTACTGAATAAAGATTATTTATCTACCTAAAGACTTTACCTAAAGAATAATCATTACATAAAATATATTTTTCCTCATGTTCTCGCTTATATTCTTGAGTTTAAGATTAAATATAGAAGCATCTGTACTAGGTATTCTTTACATGTTCATGAAACCTACTTGTGAATATTTTTGGAATATATTCCAATAACTTAAACCAGTTCAACAGATTTTATGCATGTTAAAGTGGTCGACTGTGATTAACTTTAAAAGTGATATTGTTTTATTGAACAAAAGATGAACTGGTCATACATACTAGACTACTTGAAGGATGAATTCACTTGTCTAGGCTTGATTTTAATATTGTAATTATCTAACAAATTTGTGTTATTATCAACAAAAAAAACCTGTTCTGGTGTAAATTTATCAACTATTTTTGATATTTCAATAAGTTTATAAACATAAGAAATAATGATTTGATATTACTAGGTTCATACTTTTCTTTTCACAATATTAGATTGGTGAATGATTTTTAACATGATTACTCAACAAATTGTGATCAGATAGTTTGTCTACCATGATGATGGTAGTTATAAACATAAATATCCAGCTCTCTTTTATTATCTTAGTTTTTTTGTTTAACTCATCAACAGTATCCACTTACAACTCTCCAGGTGGTTAAAACGAACAATCTTCAGATCTCGTGACATAAGTACGCGATTATTTTCGTAGCATGAAATCACATTAGCCCCTTTCTTGTTTTTGATTATTATGAATCATTTGATATGGTCAATAAGTCACTGGTTACATTCTAATATATATATATAATCTCCCGCCTTATATCTCTTTAGCTTGAAATTCATTTTTTCAGAAAACCAGTTACTATGTATTTTAATCAGAAATCAAGACAAGGAAATTTTTTCTGGTTTTTTATTACGTTATCATCTTTCTTAAAACTGACTAGTCCTAATTTTATTTCTGACATTTATAGTTTATTTATTGACTAAACTTAATGTGCAAAATTAGATGTATTTTAAGGTTTTTAATGGAAAAGACAGAAAGTTAACTAATTATGGTAACAAAATCATCAAAGTGGCAACAACATATTTTAACGGATACTTAAGATTTATTCAAACCTTATGGATTTGATGCTTTTTGACTTGATGGCTTATCAAAAGTCCACAAACTAGAGATAACATTACGCCTGTTTTTAGAAACTCATCGTAACACCCAGTAGCAAAATGTTTGATAAAACTACTAGAATTATCTTACCAAAACTGTTTAATACATTTCAGAGTATGTATTTAAGCTTGTAGACATGAGCAAAATGTGTGAATGTGACAGATAAAACTATTTTGTTTATGTATAGCATCGTTATTTAGGAATATTCTACAAATAAAAACTGTCGGTTGCATTTGAAAACAGTAATTAGAAAGAATGATAAGTATACCAAAACTTATCAATAAAATGAAAGAACTACTACTCAAATGCATGATGAACACTAATTTTGCCTCTAACAATGAAGTTTTTACACAAATATATGGAATCACAATAGTTGTGCGTCAATAGTGTTAATATGTAAGAGCTGTTAAACGATTTGATTAACGTTCATCCTATTCCTAAACACATATATAAAGTGTGACATGAAAATAGTATAGCTTTTCTGGATATCCTACCTTTCAGAAGAGGAGATGGGCCTATAAATAGGAAATTATTTAGAGAGAATATATGAACTGGTCAATATATCCATTTCTATAGTTTTACACATCATGGTTACAAAATAAATTTGATTGGATATCTCAGCCATAGAATCAAACTATTATATCCTGAGAATGATTGCATGTTATCTCAGCAACTAAGCCAGTACTTTCTTAAGGAATTACAGATATGATACCGACGATGGGTTGTTCTCTGTGCATATACCACCAGTTTAGCTGGGTCTGTGAAGCTAGGTACATTTCCCGAGCTCAGAAGGCTTTGGAAAAGAAGTCATTAAATCTAATGAAATCATCCTTTCTCACCTTGTAGATAATCAACCCTACACCAGAATAGATGAAGCTTTTTCTGTCATAACATGTCCTGATTAATCTACCCAAAGAAACAAGATTATTTTCCCTCTGCATAACTGAAGCTATTAAGAACAACTCCAAAAACCTTAGTTGGTTTGTTCAAAGAGGTATAGTTAAATTCCTGATTTATTATGGCCAACAATTGGATCACCTCATATTAACTGACTATAAACTCTTAGTATCCGACCCATTATTTTAATACATAATATAGTCTAATTTACATCACGAACTGATCTTGGTTGGACAACCATTAATAACCGGGAAAAAACTGACCAATTGTTATCATCCTACCTAAAATGCTATTCATTCAGCTATAAAATTTGATAATCTCATTTGTTTTTTAGAAAAAAACCTTTCTCATTTATTCACAAACGCCTAATTTCAACTGATGTAAATATGATAATCATGAATTTGTAACTGAAGTAAAACTAAATAATGAAGCTATTTAACGAAACAAAAATTTGTTCCTTCAACTATTTCTTATTTCTAGTTTTGTTTTAATTAATTACAACTACGTTTCTTGTCTTTCATTTTTTTCTTTGTAAAAAAAACAAAGCAAAAATAAAAATAAAAAAATGAATTATTACTCTTATTCCTTGGTTAACTACTAAAAGATAAGTTATATGGTGAATGAATTAATAATAACTATTATCATAAAAAATAATCAATCAATAATTACTTATCAGTTTAGGGGTTGTGGAGATTGTTACGTTTTTGATTGGAATCATGAGTCAATTGAAGCTAGACCACCATGGAAAACCTGGAAGCACTGGACAGCCGTTTCCTCCTAGTATGGGACTCCTCAGCAGTGCGCATCCACGATCCTGCACCCCGCGAGACTCGAACCCAAGACCTATCGGCCTCGCGCCAGGCGCTTAACCAACTAGACCACTGAGCCGGCATCCAATGGTGTTAATGTCTAACCTCAACGAATCCACGAAATTGCGCGACCATCTTCCATTGTATTGAGGTAGACACCTGTTTCTACCCGACACGGATTAGCTGCACTGATCACAGCTTATTCGTATAAATAGTAAATTGACTTAGTTATTAATATTTATTACTAAATAGAACAATATCGAATGAAATGAATTAACTTTTTATTATATATTTTTTTAAAAACAGACAAGTTATTGATAATTGAATTATTATATTTATTTGTTTTAAATGATCAATTAGTATTAAATTTAAATTGTATGTATTTTATCTTACAGTCGCAATAAATAATCTATGAGAAGGAAAAATAACTGAAAATATAATGTAACCTATAAATAAGTGGTTTTTGTTTAATGATCATTGGTAAATGAATGTAGTACTATAGTGACTGTTGTGCAATTTGAAGATTAATAACATAAAACTATTTAAATGATGGAAGATATTCAGAGATTAGCCAATTTAATGATAGTTCAGCTTATGAACTTACTTTATCTGAAAAGTTGTTTCGTTTCAGTTTATGACTCAGAAAGATTTAATCACGTATGAGAGCAGAATCACTTGGCTTTCACAAACTCATATTACCCGCAAACCAGCTAATTAACCTCGAATGGTTCATATTTCTAACTGTTATCTAAGATTAGATTCTCAGAGAACAACAAAAGTGAATCAGGTCGACGAGATTATCTACATGCACCACTATGAGAAGTTTACTGGTGATGACATCTGATGCGGGTTGGATAATGTTGGGGATGTTAGATCCTCAGAACTCATTTGGCAAATACTTTAGTTTTGTAATTTTATTTTGAAAATTTGAATTTCTTTGTTTTTGCGCCGAAAGCGCTCTTTTCACCTTCATGTCGTATTTCCAACGTGGGAGAATCTTTAACGCGATTGGTCCGTTGTATATTTTAGTAATGGTATTTTGTAACGCTTCCCAAGGACAGTTTTATGCTGTATATATACGTTTGATTTGTGTCTGTTGTGATCGCTCGTGCTTCTGGATACTTGCGGAATATACATCCCCGTTCCAAAACTTCGACTTCTCTCTCTAGTTGGCGGGGTCTGGACGCATCAAAATATCTATCTTATTGGTCATTGTTCACAGTGTCTTTGTTCCGTTCGCAGACTAGATGAACTCGTAATCACTTCAAGATACAATAATATCGCCTAAAAGTATTCACCGGTGGTCTGTACGTTGTTTATTGTTTGTTAGGGTTTCCTGAATAGTTCTCAAGATGTTCATGATATTTTATATTTTCTATAAAACCCTCGTAGTCTGTTTACTTTAACAACTAAAACAATATAGTCTCCACTTTCAGATAAACTTTCTAATAGTAGACCACTTTTTATTCAATTTCTTATATGAACGAACGTCTATGACATTTAAAAGTATTGAAAAGTTCAGTATTTTAAACCATTCAATCATTTGCATCTCTCGATAAGTGATAGTATCTTGTGTTCATTTTTACATAACTTTAGTAAATATTCGATAGGATCTTATAATTTTTAAGAAATATCTTGGGAAAGACTATAATTTATGGACGAACTAATCATGTATGAGATAACAAGTCTTGGATTTTGGCACGAAATTCATTCATCCATTTAACTCAATAGAGTTTTGACATTATAGTTTATATCAGTTTGTGATGAAAACCCTAAATTTAATTTCTAACTTTAATCATCAACTGTAAATCATAATTCTAATTCTGCACACAGGTTTATAACCCTCATTTGGTACTGTATATATTAGGTGGATGCCCTCAATTTCAGTCTAGCGTCGCTTAAAGATCGTCCATAAATTATAGTCTCACTATATTTTGGTTTCACTTTATGAAAATTTTTAAATGAA